CTTATTATTGAAATCTATAAAATATCAGATAATTTAATGTGCATATATGCTATCAACTCAAATACAAGAAATTGCTTTTTAAAATAAAGTCTTCCGTGCGTGTGTTAATTTTTTTTTTGCTGAATCGTTGGTACAATTGACCTTAATAATAATGCAAAGTTTGATTTTCAACTGCCAATTATTAACTTCCAGTAGGGTAAGTTATAGTAATCGCAAAAATAGAAATTTTTGTAAATAAATAATATTTGGAAGCAGCAATGCTTCATTTAAGAGAATTGTGCTAGAAAGTGTTTCACTTTGGAAAAAAACTAATTTTATTGCCCAATGAGGCACCATTGCATAAGACCCATATGATAAACGCCAATTTTAGCCTAAACCAGATCTATCACCCTGTAAATTATTTCTATATTTTTTATTTGATTTGGAAAATTACTATATTAAGTTCAATGTTTATACGCTCCTGAATTTGAAACAAAATTACTATTGAAATTATTATTTATAATCACCTTAAACATTTGGGCTATGTCAACTTTGTCTATGTCAGTAAATAAATCACTATTGAAAGACAGATTTTACAGTTTATCAATATGTGTAGTGCATATGAAAAATGCAGTGAAGTATATATACTAAATATATCAAATAGAAAAAAATCTTAAGTAAAAACAATTTTTAAATAAATTTGTAATGAACAGATAGTTACTCTTTGGTTACTCTTACGTAATCAGCTTAGTAAATTTAAATTTTCAAAATCTATACAATTATATATACATATGAATATCAAAAACACCTGACTGCACAGCTAATACATAGCATTTTAACAATCTTAAGTACTATTAACAGCGTAACATAACGTTGCCATAACATTAGTCTATTTCAGGACAGAATTGGCTTATGATTCTTTAGAAATGTTTCTGAAGCGCTGTTTATGCTAAATGTGTTAGTGAATATTATAACAGCTGCTACGCTCGTGCGCAATGCTACGCGTAGTAACTCTTCTCATAACCAACACAAAGCTACGACGGCTGCGTCTCAATACATGGCGGGAGCGATAGACATACTCGTATATAAGGCCGTTTAACGACAGTCAAGAGTAAGGTAAACTAATCCGTCAGAGGAGCCGGAAATTTTTGGGAAATTAAAACATAATAACATGTAAGATTTAAGGGGGTATTCTACTGTAGAATTTTGAAAAAATCGAAAAATTTTTTTTTTCATATTTTCAAAGTTTAGTTATTCAAAAATATGTCATTAAAAGGATTTTTCAAAATTACTGTTATTTCCTGAGTTATAGCCGCTTTAGTGACGTGGTCTCGGTTCGGGTCCGACCGAGTCTAAAAACTTTGAACGCTAAAACGAAACTAAAAACGGAACTACTTTTTTCGACCTGGCGGTAAGGATATCTCGAGTTCTAATGAACCGATTTACTTCAAATTTCGAGAGTATCTTCTCTATACATTGCTTTATCGCATGGACCTCTACCAAAACTATAACTTTTCATTTAGTATTTTTAAAAAATTCGGAATTGTTAAAAAAAACATGAAAAAAAAATTTTTATTTCAAACTGCCGCCATTCAAACAAAAAAATTTTTTTTGGCTTATCCAAGGTTCATACGATAGCGACATCTATAATAATTAAGAATCCATCTATTTTTCATGTTTCGGATCACCAGGAGGGTTAGAATCATGCACGCCAGGACACCCTCTTTTTTTTTGAGCTCCCACTTTAACTGCTCATAACTTTGTGAATTCTAATTTTTTTTCTTTAATAATTTTTTTATGTAATAATAAAATATCAATAAACAAATGATAAAAAAATCAATAGTAAAAATATTATTTGTTTCCTTTATACAGCGCTTCAAAAACCGGGCAAAATTCATGCTTCTACAGTAGAATACCCCATTAAAGTACACTTTCACAAGAATTCATCGTAAGATTATAACGCAATTCGAAAAGTGAACCTTTGAAAACTACTTTTTTTGTTATTTTGATAATATATGGAATACCCAAAAAATCATCATAAATCGTGTTCAAATTCATCTTTATAGTGTGTTTTAGGTTTGCAGTCTAAAATTGGCATTCTGTAAACTGTTTTGGTGACTATTGTTGGCAGTTATTATTCTTACTGATTATGATATATTTCATTGGAAGGCTACCCATTAGGAAGGTCCTTAATTTGGGCATTTTCGAATTTCCTTGCTTCCAGAAGCTCCAATGATTCCAAATTCATTAAAACAATTATCTGAAAGTTTTAGCTCTTAATATTAACTTTTAGATAAAGCGCAATTCAATCAAACTTCGGAAATAGCATAGAAAAAATTTTGAAAATTAAAAAAAATGTTTTAGGTATAACTTAACGCAAATAAATTAGTTTTATTCATTCATTTGTTTGCTAAATTACATCTAAAAAACATTTTTAAAATTTTTGATTAAATTGCGCTCTATCTAAAAGACAATGCTAAAACTTGCAGAGAATTGTTTTTTATCAATTTGGAACCATTTGAACCCTTGAGAGCAAGGAAATTCGAAAATGTCTATATTAAGGACCACCCTCCTACCCAGAGTTGTGCTTTTCTAAATGTTATAATATTTTAACGTGCTACAGCAATGCTCGGAATCGTTGTTTTGACTTCGAAACATTAGTTATGACTTTATATTAGGTTGGTAACACTTAATGTAGGTGAGCATAGGTTGGTCGTAGCAAATATTTTTTTGAAAATCAAAATCAGTTTCTTTTTTATGGAACTAAATGATTTCATCCTTCAAGCAGCATCATCATCTCACTTTTAAAATACTACTGCTTATAAGCAAAAAACTGAATCTAATACAATTCAACACCAATGTAATAATTGAATTGTTTACCATTCCAAGAGTTTTGTAAAAATCTAAACAAAAAGTAAAAAAAAAAATGTGTAAGGTCAGGACTGTATGGTGGACATGGAAAAACATCTCAACCAAGCTCTAATAATTTTTGCCAAATGGCCAAAAATATGTGATGTCTATAATAGAATAAGTATCCGTTTTTTTTAACGTTTATTAACTTTTTTTTCAACTGCATTGTTTACATTTATTAATTTCAGTAGACATCAAAATGGATCATTCGTCAGTTGGTAAAAACAGTTCAAAGTAAACAGTATTGCTTTTTAATCTTTAACTTTAACTGGGCAACTAGAGCATTTTTGATCTTTGAGCGAAGAATCATCAGAACAAAATTTGGTTATCCAATTTTGACACTGCCATTTTTAAAGGCTTCATCACCACCACAACATTTCGTGAGCTAAATAAGCTTCTTTATCTTTACCGAAATATAAAAACAAAATATGACAAAATTTCGATCTGATTTTCATCAATGAACGCCAAACGAAAAATATGCAATGGATAATAAAACTTTTCTTTACTAATCGACATCTAAATTGCCTACTATCTAAAGTATTTTACGTTGGAACTACTTCAGCAAACCTAAAAATTCATTTGAAACTATCTAAGTTGAAAACCGCACTTAGTTTCTCACCAAATATTCTCAAGTACAAATGCATCACTACTCCTTGATACTATTGAATATATTTACATATCAAGCTGCAAATTTATATCTACAATAATTAAAGTATATAAAACTCTTCAGGTACAAGTAACTTACACATTCTGCTCTGTTTTATATTTATAACAGTTATAAATATATTTTCTATAAAACGTGTTTATATAGTTTAGGTATTATATTACCCTTGCGAGATTAATATGCAGCCGGAGCGGCGGCATCCGAATGGAAAGGGTTAAGTTTTAATTTTTATGTATGCATAAAAGATTTAAAAATTTAACCGTGTAAATATTCCTTGCATATGTTTGT